GGAACTGCTGGAGCGAGTCCAGCGAAGGGCAACTAAGGTGATTGAGGGACTGGAGCATCTCCCTTATGAGGAAAGGCTGAGAGAGCTGGGACTCTTTAGCCTGGAGAAGAGAAGGCTGAGGGGAGACCTTATTATGGCTTACAAGTATCTAAAGGGTGGGTTGAAGGAGGATGGAGCCACACTCTTCTTGGTGGTTCCCAGTGACAGGATGAGGGGCAATGGGCACAGTTTGAACATGGGAAGTTCCATTCAAATCCAAGGAGAAACTTGTTTACAGTTCGGGTGACAGAGCACTGGCACAGGCTGCCCAGGGAGGTTGTGGAGTCCCCTTCTCCAGAGATTTTCAAAACCCGCCTGGGTGCAGTCCTGAGTAATGTGCTCTGGGCAATCCTGCTTTAGCAGGGGAGTTGGACTAGATGATCTCTAGAGGTCCCTTCCAACCCTGAAGATTCTGTGATTCTGTGCTCTTTCTGGCAGCTGTAGGGATTTGGGCTGGGATGGCAATGAACTGCACGCGGAGTTTAGTTTCCACCCATGTGGCGCTGGGCTGAGTGGCACAGGCGGGCAGCAGCATGAGGCCCGTGTCCAGCACTGTGCTCCAGCAGCCTTGGCGAGCACAAAGTGGCGTGTGTGGGGTTTTTGTGAAGGAGCATCCCTGCTTCTGCCCCTCATCCTGAGCCATCGCCGGGCCTGGTGAACTCAGAACACTCATCATCTCGGATAAGGCTCTGTCTGAGGATCACAGCTACCGTGGTGCACAAGATGTAAGAGTATGAAAAAAAAAAAGATGAATAATTTTCCTGGTTTTCAGGGTCTAATTACAATCCTTAATTTTTAATAAGGTAGTTCATAATGTAGCTGTGGTTTTATCATTGGTAATTACCTATGTATGCATCATGGCATTAGAGAAAAAGAAAATGAAAAAGGGGCTATAGTAGAAAATGCAAAGCTATTGGTTTGAACACTAGCTACATATACCCTTACTTACTTTAAAGTGTTGGGGGGGTTATGTTAATTTGTAAGGAAAAACAAGTGATTGTAATGTAGTAATGTATTTTGATAGCTAGATATAAATTTAACCTGAGGAAGAATTGTAAGTTTATGGTGGCAGTACCCTAATAAACCACACTTTTATAACCTTGCATAGAAAAACAATCTATTAGAATATTATAATAGCAGTGTAAAGATATATGCGGACATAGGGAGGTACATGTATTTGGTGTCAGTATTTCTTGATTTTCTGGAAATACTAATTTTATTGCAAATAGCAAGTTTTTGTTGTTCTTCACTTGGCCTTTTAGTGTTAGTAATTCTTCACTGTTTGTGCTAGACTAAAATCCAGATCATGTGTGAGGACATAGATACTATGGAAGTTTAGCGCTTCAGTATGAGATAAATTAAGTAAAACAACATTTACAAGTTTATTCCTGTGTGGCCATACTGCCTGTTAGGTCAAATCAGTCAGAGATGAGTTAGTAAGCAGAAGTGAAATCCTGGCTTTGAAAATGCACAGATGAAGGGGAGGAGAGTGCGTGTAATTTAGATTCAGTTCCCCGCTTTCTTTGAGAGAGAAGCTGAGCAGCGTAACTATGGGGTACTCTTAAATTGTGCTAATCAGCCATGAAACCAGAAAAGCATTTTTCCACAATATTTCTTCATGAATGTTTACTTGTGATGAGGTAAACAAAGATGTCTGTAATAGGCTTCATAATTGTGATAAATAAAGTATGTCTGACCTATTGCTTGCTTTTTTGTGACTTACTTTTTTTGTGCTATAAGCCTGAATGCTGGGATGCTATTGTATACTTGATTTTAATCTTTTTGGTAGTAGCGATAGGATAAGAGAAGCCTTTGAATTTATCTTTTAAAAGAATAATGCTTAAACTTCAATTTAAGTGTTTCTTTTAGATTCTCAATGTCCTCTTTCAAGATCTATTTGCAAATCAAAATGTAAAAAGAATATCTTAGTCCTTTATGTGATAGACAAACCTTAAAAATCAATCATATGGAATTAATAACATTTCCTTAGTGACTGTATGCAAATAGCAGCAGTAAACGAAAACAGGGACCATGTGTTTTCAGTTTGTTGGATATTGAGTAAAGCAGGACATAAAAACTGCTTCAGAAGGATGTAACGATGTCCTGTATTGATTTGAAACTGAGCACCTTCAAATTAAAATACAAAAAATGAATTTCGATAAGATAATCAGATTAATTGCAGGATAGCTGTTCTGTGTTCCAGAGTTGTACATAGAAAAAGGTGGTGTGTCTTTATTTTTTTTAAATACATATATAAGCTACTCTAGCGTTGGTCCATTGGAATATTTAAGCATACTGTTGATTTAACCCAGTTGACTAGGTTCAGTCTGCTTAAAGCTAAATGTGTTCAGGTGCTCAGATGAAATGGCTGCTATGAAGAGATCATTGCAAATCAGCTCTTTCAGGTACTGTTCTTTACAATAGCTGAGATAGTGGCTGATTTCCAAAAATACTTTCCTGATGCACTCGCAGGAAAAAAAAGGAGAGGTGAGCTTTCAGGCATATGAACCTTGAAGAAACTCTCAAGGTTATGCTTTAAATCTTTTCAAGCTTTCTGGCTATATCTGCTGGTCTAATGAAAGTTATTAGTCTTCCTTATCTCCCTTTCTAGGGCAAGGGGAAAAACATTGCAAGTGAACTTTAGCTGACAAGCTAAGGCAGACTGTCTTGGGATGCTCTGTGGATAATGACCCAAATTCAGTACTCTGTTTGATCTATTCTGGGCCTAATTTCTCATCTGTAGATATAAGGAAACTAAATGAGGCCATGCGTAGCAAAGAATGAAGTGGGTAAGTTGAAAATTAGAGGAACCTGAATGAGATAAATGATCAAAGACTGGCATAAATGTATTGTTATATGAAATACAGAGCGCTTAACGTGTAAAATAAGGTTATGAGGAGAAGTGTATTTGGGGCCTCAGCAACTGGCCATCTTCCAAATCCTGCAAGGACTCACTAACGCTTTACTTTATTCTGGAGAAGCTCCGCTGAAATCAAATGACACGTCACTTACACACGTAAGAGTTTGTGAGATCGTGCTGTACAGGCTACGTGATCTTATACCTTGTTGTGTGAAGGCAGGCTGAGTTCGGAGGGGGACAAAAAGGAAAAGGCAGGGAGGGACTTGCAGACCCTGTGGAAGCTCAGGCTGCAGTTCAACTCAACACTTGATTTCTTCCTGAGTGAGAATCTGCTGTGGCACAGGCTGGACATTATGACTGTGTTTGAATGTACAGTTCCTGCATGTGTGTCATGATGTTATGTCTAATTGCATTCATTAGTGATGGTACTTGGAAATTGGAATTGCCTCTCCACGGTGGAAAGGTGCTGGCAACGCACTCCATGGGCACTGACTGTGAGACTGGGGAGGAGGTGAAGTGGAAAGGGGCAGGGGAGGATTGGTGGTCATGGCAAAAGGTCTGTTGGAAATTTGTGACGAAGAATAAAGAGTTAGAAACAATAGGGATAAATGAAGAAGACCCTAGAGGTGAGGATAAAGATGATGGA